GATGATGATGAGGATGATGATGATCATAATAATGATGATGAGGCGACCACGACCAGCGGACCACGTGATGAGGCCAATATGAGTAATTTGTGTGTGTGATGACCAATGACAATGACACGTGTGGCGCAGGCAAAAGCGGCAGTGAGGCACCGGCGCTGGCAAAGGCAGTGGCACTGGCGGCTAAGTTCAACACCATCCTTTGCGTGGCAACAACTGTGATGTCAATAGCCGAACGCCGCCCTTCTTCACAGAAGCAATGGAGGCAATATAGATTGCTATAGGCAATGACGCGACAGCACAATCACAACAATGAATGCAAAACGGGAGATGTTGATGTTCGTGCTGTTTGAAAATGCTTGGATTCTTGAGAGAAATGCCGATGTGTTCTGAGAGTTCTCTATTCCCTTCTTGCAATTTTGTGGTTTGTGCGGGCCATCCCCCTGCAACCTTCTCCAGGCCCAGAAGGATTACCCCCTCTTGTTCGACGCCCAAACCCTCTGAGAGCAGCACGTTGCTTGGAGCTGGGGGTTTCCTGCGAGGCGCTCGCTGACAAGACCGTTCAAAAAGCCAAGAAGGCACCCGTTCTGTGGCACGTAAAAAGTTGAACCAGCCATCTGTGTCTGACAAGTTGTGTCTCATGCGGCAAGTCAAGGATCCTGGAGCTCGATGCCAGCAAATGTCAATGATCTGACGCGGCCCGCCCCGTTGCAAATGCCTCACCAGGAAGAGATACCCTGAGGGAGCAATCATACCAGTGGTTTCTGGATGTAGAATCAACCACTCATATCTTGCATTGCCGCGAGGTCCAAGCAAAAAAAAAACGGAAGCGGTAGCCTGGGGGCCAACAGAGTCTTTACTCGCCCACAAATCAGCATGGAACCCTGGGAAGGGCTGCCCTCCCACCAGAAAAAATAGGAAATCGCGGCCGAGTTTCCCAGCCAACAAACGGAGATCCCACCCAAACAGGACTTTCGGGGCTTGAAATCGCAGCCGAGCGCTTCAAGGACCACGGGAATCCCCCAATTTCCCCAAGGTCCTGGCCCACCTGCAGCTCTGCGGGAGAGGGTGCCGAGAAGGAGTTGGTCCGAGTCTGGCACGTGGTTGGCAAAACTTCTTGGGCCCTCTGGGCCTCTGGTGGCAAGACGAATTGGATCAAAACAAATGGCTGAACGTCGTCCTGACTTCCTTCCTTCCTTCCTTCCTTCCTTCCTTCCTTCCTTCCTTCCTTCCTTCCTTCCTTCCTTCCTTCCTTCCTTCCTTATTACCTTGTTCCCTTGTTTCCTTCTTCCCTTGTTTGATTGTTCCCTTGTTTGATTGTTCCCTTGTTTCCTTGTTTCCTTGCTTCCTTGTTTCCTTGCTTCCTTGCTTCCTTGCTTCCTTGACCTTGCTTCCTTCATTCATTCATGTCAGTTTGTTCGATCAGAACGCGCACTCATTCTTTCAAGTCACATACGTTGGTGTCCTATTTTTCTACTCTCCCATCTGCCGATGTATAGATTCAGACCATTCATTCTCAAACAGTTTGTTTGCGTTTTCCATCAGCTGGACGTGTTCCAGGATGCTCCTTTGTTGTCAAACAAAGCTTACAGGGAACTTCCGCAGCACCGGAAACTCTCTGAGCCAGCTCGCTCGCAGCGCGCGATCTTTCCAGCATGGCCGCGTGCACTGTGGACGTTGGGTGGGTCAACCCTCAAAAATCTCGCGGGGTGCTTGCACGTGCTTCAGAGCAACCAGCAAAAGGTGAAGCCTCTGCCGACTTTCGCCGGGTGGACTCCAAAAAACTCACGATTCTCATGTGTTGTTCACCTTCGTGGGGCGAAGAGAGGGAAGAGAGAAGGTCAGAAGAAGGAAAAAAAGAGAGAGAGAGAGAGAGATGCTCCTAACTCCAGTTCTCCTATCTTTGAAACTTCCCCCCCCCCACCTTTACCAGACCTTGGGCTCGCCTTTTGGCGCTGGCTCCCCAACCTCCCGCCTGCCGGCACTCCGAGGCAAGCGGGCCCCGGCCATTGGAGCGCACGGAGCTGTTGGTGTTCTCCCGCGGCGCGACTGCGCGAGACCCGCCGGGAGACCGGCTCGGCCGCTCGGCGGAATCGGCGCGATGATGAGAGGAAAGCACGAGATCCCCCCCCCCCGAAAAAGGGGGCAATCGTGTGTGGTGTTTGTTCTTCTTGTTTTTTTCCGGAGCTGCCAGCGCAACGAAAAACAGAACTCGAATGTGCATGTGCACATGTGTGTGTGTGTACATGAGTGTGTGTGTGTGTGTGTGTGCATGTAGACTACATGTAGACCTATGATGAAAAGAAGACGGGTCCTTCATGCTAGGACCCATCCCAACACTTTTTTCATGTTCTGATGGTTCCAAGGGCGGGACTCACAACGCGGCACTCTCAAAAGCTGGTTCGCAAAAAGCGAGGGCCGCTTCGGAAAAAAACCTTCGTGATCAACCAACCAAAACCAACCAAAACCAAGAGAAGCATCCAAGACCAACTAAACCCAACCCCAAACCAACAACCAAACCAGCAAAAGCAGCCAAAAGCAACGTCAAAAGCAACCAAAAACCAACAAAAGCCCACCAACAAACCAGCCAAGACCAACAACAAGCAACATCAAAAGCAACCAAAAACCAGGTGAAACCAACAAAAAGCAACATAAACACCAGCCAAGACCAACCAAAGCCAACATCAAACCCAACCCAAAAACTGACCCCAAACCAACAACCAACCAAAAAACACCAGCCAAGACCAACAAAAAGCAACATCAAAAGCAACCAAAAACCAATCAAACCCTACGAAAAGCAACATAAGCACCAGCCAAAACCAACAGAAAGCAACGTCGAAAGCAACCAACAAAAAGCCCCCGCCTCAAAAACCAGCCAAGACCAACAAACAGCAACAAAAAGCAACCTCAACAACCTCATTTTGCCCACCTAGGCCAGAGACGCCAAAACCTCAGGCGACCCCGTGACTCGGCGCCTTGCAGCCCAGGCGTACGGCTGGCCACGATCTCCGGGCTCCAGGGCTCCTCGGGGCTCTCCCTGGCCGCTGGCGCGCGCGAGGCGCGAGGCGCGAGGTACGGTGCGCCCCTGTGCTTGTGATCTATCCAAAAGTATATATGTATATATACATATATATATATATTATACATATGTATATATATATACATATATAATATATAGTTATTTATATATATACATATATATAGAGATATGTTGTATTTGATGTGTTCTTTTTTGGGGGGATGTCTTTTGGGGGGGTTACCTGATTCTTACGGTTGGTTGTGCCTTTGTGCTTTGCTTTGTTTTTTCTGCTCTCTTTCTTTCTTTCTTTTTTTTTTTTTTGGGGGGGGGGGGGGAAGGTTTAAGGTAAATCCAGCGGATGGTTGAGGTGGTTGTGCTTTTTTGGGATCTACCCTAAGGAACCAGAAGGTTTGTTGGTATTTATGTTGGGGAATCATCAGAAACCAAGGTTTCTTAGGTGGTGCAGGATTGGGGGTTACCTGATTCATACTGTTGCTGTTTGTTTATGGGTGTGCTTGTTTTTTTGGTAAATCTAAAGGTCGGGACGGGGGTGAAAGGAAAAAAATGAAGGAGAGCTTCCCTTTGAAAACCATACTGTGGATGGATGGGCGAAATCCATATGCTTCTCGCACCAGTTCGGAAACCCCTGCCAGCTTCTGATAGGATTCCCCAACGACAATCCCCACAAACGTGATGGAAATACAACCATGGCTTCCTTTCGTGGTGCAGAATTTCGCGGAGCTGGCCTAGGGGTCCTTTTGGTTGAAAAAAAACAATGGCCCCTATACAAAAAAAAAGAAGTCAACCAGGAATCGCCTTTCTGTTGTTTCACTGGGCCAAACCAAAAAGGACCCTGCATGGCTCGACCTCCCCTCGCGCCTGAAGTTCGCCTTCAGGCTGTCGCCCACCGAGCGGATGCGCATCGTGCCTCCCGAGAAAAAAAAGCGCCGAACCGAGGTCAGAACCTGTGGGGTTTCACAAAAGAAGACACACTCATACTGGATGGCTTCGAAATCCGCTTCACGACTTGGAAACCATGGTTGAAACCATCACGTTTGTTGGTATTTACGTTGGGGAATTAACAGAAACCAGGGTTTCTTAGGTGGTGCGAAATGGATTTCGTCCATCCACAGTATGGCTGTGGGTCAAAACCCTGGTACCCCACTACCCCCGAGATTCCCTTTCAAAAGGAACCAAACAAAAGGGGGGGCTACCCAAAAAAGGGTATTTGGATGTTGACCCACCCAGAGCCCAAGGCGCATCTCTTTAGCACCGGTGAACCAGGCCATCACAGAATGAGTTCAATCAAGACATGTGTCTTTCGGTAGTGGCTTTTGCTGGCTGAATCGGACAAGTTGCTTGCAACCCTTGTGCCAACGACAGCAGCAGCCCCCAAGTTGTGCTTCGGAAGGGGAACGCATTTGTTTGCACAGAAATGTCACCATGTGCCCCAGAAGCCCATGTTCAAAAGCCGGCGCTGGTCTCCGTTCAACTGTATCAGGCTGTTGGTCCAAACTCCAAACTTCCGTAGGGCCTCTGCTGTTGATTTGATCCCAAACGGGATGGGCCTTCCTAGAAAAGGAAATCAGCCCCTCACTGTGTCTGGGCTCCTCAGAAGGAAGAAGGGTTCTAAGAAGGGGCAAGAAGGGGCTTGTGGGCCCGGGCTAACTTCCTGTTGACCTGCCCACGTTGAATGCGCTCGCATGCGCTCCCATCGCGCATGCGCTCGAATCGCCTTGCAGCGTGCCCTCGCAGTAGAGCTGCGCGGTGAACCAGGCCCCCGCCGCCTGCAGCGCGCCCCGGTAGCGCCTCAGAACAAGATATGGGAAAAAATGCCATGCTGCTGTTTGCAGGGAAGCGGTGCTAGAACCGAGCGCTTCTGTGTCACTGCAAGTCGTCTGGGATTCAGCTGCATGCCAGTGTGCATGGATGAGCATGGGTGATTACATCAATCGCGTCCCTTGAGAGGGACGAAAGATGTGTGGCTTGGAGAAAAGCAGAGGCAAGCCCAGCAACACGATGATTCACCGGACCTAGCCAAATGCCCCTGTATCTTCTTGAAAGAGGCTAGACAAGCGCACAGGCTTTTCTCTCGCAAAACTATGTGTGCACTTTGGCCCTTCACTCACGGGCCACCGCTTAGTCGATGATTTAGGATTGGTCATACTGTGGATGGTTGCGAAATCCGCTTCACCGTTCAACAACCCAACGGTGTCTGATTCCATTCCCCAACGTTAAATACCAATGAACATTATGGTTTCAACCGTGGTGTCGTTTCCTTTTGGTGCGAAAAATATGTTTTCGTCCATCCAGGGTAGGTCCGAATCCATCCATATGTTTCACCTTTTGCCAATCTTCTTGGTTGCTGCACGGCCCCTCTAAAAGTCTTCAACTCCATTGCGAGTCCAATACGGAGAATCCGACCTGGTTCAACCAAAAAAAGGTTCAAGTCAAAAAAAGAATGGACCATCGGACCTGGTTCAACCACAAAAGTTAAAGTCCAATATCCATTGGCACATGTCCATGGGTCAAAATCCCAATCGTACCCCCAGTGAACATCCCAATCCCCACTAAACTAGACTGAAATGGGTGGTGAATTCACCTACCTCAAAATGGGATCCCATTGGTTTTGACCACCACAGCCACATAGCTATGAAGTACCCCCCATGCCCCTCAGGACGGCACTCGCCCGTGTCGACCTGCTCGTCAAAGTAGAGCTCCCTCGGGCGAGGAATGAAAGGAACTCGAACAGTGATCGAAACTCGCTTGAGCATATTGCTGTCTCCAAAATGGTCCGAATGGGTTGTTTGCACAAAATGAGCAAAGAAGGAGGAGGAGGAGGAGGAGGAGGAGGAGGAGAAGAGGAAGGAGCGGTTTTCGGAAGCCAAAAGGCGCTGCGATTCAGCTGAGGCACCTGAGACATTGGTGCGTTTTTGTTTCTTGCATTGGTGTCACAGCCAAGTCGCCCATCCTCCGGCTTGATTTCAAAGCCTTGGGCGCGATGGGACAACTCACAAATGCCATGGCACATCCGACAGTTCGGTGCACAGACTCAAAGGCTACAGTTGGGTGGCGCCAACAGACCGAAGTTATTGGGACTGACACCGAAAACCAAACTCCTTTCACTCCCTTTGCTCTTCTCCGGTTTTCGTGGTGGCAAGTGGAGAAGGCACATGGTTCTGGAAAACGAGATGTCCGCGCTGCCCAAATGCCAAGGCACAGCCTCCAGGGTGGTAGAACCACTTGCCTGCGCTTCCCGTAGATATGTGGGATGTGTCAGGGGACAGGAACCAAACGCTGGCCAAGCGGTGGTGAATTGTCCTTTTTGTGCTCCAAGAAAGCCGAAATTGATCTGCTGCCCTGATCCCTTGTGCATGCACTCAGGGCTGGTGAATACTGACTTCACGGGTTGCTGCTCAACCAGCATGCCGGTGAGTGCTGACACTTTCGTATAATTCATGTGCAGGCCCTCTTCAACTGATACCCCCAGCGAATCAACCCAAGCCAGAGTCAAATCATTCTCCCAGTCCGCAAGCGCACTCTCATCCTTTTCCCCGACATCAAGCATCACATTCCCCGAGTCGCAAGAACCGCAAAGAATTTCTCCTCGCAACTCCCATCCTCCCCCATCCTCCAGGCCCCACCTCCCATCCTCCCCCATCCTCCAGGCCCCACCCCCCCATCCTCCAGGCCCCCCTCCCCCTCAGCCCCTACCACCCCACCCCACCCCCTCCTGGTCACCAGCCCGCTCAAATCCAAATCCCCCACCCCACCCTCCAGCCCCACTCCCCCCACCTCCCCCCCACTCCGTGCCTTGCAGGCTTTGGTCCACCTCCAGCACCGCCGGGTTGTCCCCGCTGCAGGCCCGGAACCGCACCGCCCACACCCGGGTGCCGAAGGGCTCCTTAAAACCGACTGGGGCAGACTGGGGCTGACGGCCGTGCTGGGGGCGGGGGGGGGGGGGGCGGAAAGGGCAGAGGTGAAGAGAGGCAACAATCAAATCTCATGGGTAAATGTTCGCATGTGAAAAAATCAGATCCTTTTTGCTGGTTTCCCCAATGTGCTTTAGTGAGGAGGGTGAGGGTGAGTGGCGCTTGTGGCATGTGGTGACAATCAAAAGTCTGCGCGGTTCGTGGCGTGAAGAGCGTGGGCGGTTCAACCACAAAAAATGCTCAAGAATTGAATCCTCCTCTTTCGAGGGTTACGTCAAGCTGATCGCTGAACAGAAGAGAGGCCAGCCTTGCCGAGCCATACTTCTGAAAGAATGCAAGGCGATCAAAAGGCATTTTTGGGGAGCCCCAAAACAAGACAGACCCATATGTTGACTTCAAGCCTTGGTCAATGTTGTTCGCCCCATCTATCTTGATCAAATGTCTTGATCGGGATGTCTGCACTGGGGCCAACTGGGCCCCCAGAAAGCCCTCTAGGTATGACTCTCTCGCGCTCTAAGCCCCGCACCGCGTCGCGCGCGACCAGCGGCAGCGAGGGATTCCGCTTGATCCTGCGCCCGAGACCAAACTGCGCGCCTTTTGTTGCCCGATTGATGTACACCATTTGCTGGAGACCTCCCATTTTGGGGTGCAAAAAAGGCACACCCAAATGCCTGGCAGACCCCCAAGCCGATCCAGTCGTGACTCGTTTTTGAGCGCCGAGACCCTCAGCCCCGCGCCTCACAACGGGATGCTCAGCCTGTGTTGTGAGACCTCAGAGAAGCGGGGGGCCGGAAGCAACTTCACAGAGCAAAGTACTGTGGAGGGACGAAATCCGGTTCGCACCACCTAAGAAACCCTGGTTTCTGATGATTCCCCTGACATACCAACAAACAAGGGTTTCCCATGTTTTTCAGGTGGTGCGAAATGGATTTTGTCCATCCACAGTATCACTGGTCCCTGTTGGGAGGTACATTGCGCATGCCGGACGGTAATGTTCCTCTCTTTCTCTGGAGTGAGCATCCGAGTGCTAACGTGGCACCTGGTTTGCATATCTTTACCATCCCCCCCACTTTTGGGGAGGTCATCTTGATGTCGTTAAACCCCCTCCCCCAAAAAAAATGGAAAGGATTCCAAACCATCTGGGCAAAATGCACAATACTGTGCATGGACGAAATCCTGCACCAAATTGAAACCATGGAAAACCTCTTCTTTGTTGGTATTTCCTTGGGAATCATCATTCCAGGGTTTCTTAGGTGGTGCGAAACGGATTTCGTCCGTCCACAGTCTGGGCAACTGAGTTCTCCTCTCAGCTTCCCTGGCTCCGGCAATCCAACGTCAATACTAAACCAAGCAGTGCTGGTCCTTCCCAGCTCAGAGGCTCAAGTCCTTTGATCTAGGAAATTTCAACTTTACAAGTGGTCCCCCAACCATCAAATTTGACATAAATTCCAAACTGTCGCGCAACTAGGGAGGCCCACAGGAGCTCCTGATCCGGTTTGATACGACTGTCAGGCTTGTTTGGGCGGGTTGGGGGCATGTCCAAATCTTAACGTGTGGTTCACCCCAAGCTCTTCCCAGTACCAGCAATCCGAGATCAAGGCTTGGCCGCACTAAACTTCGAATTGGCCATACTGAATGAACAGGGATCCTTACATTATACACCTGAATGGTAGTTTCCCTTTATTTTGGTGTTAAAAAAGCAACATGTTTCAAATGGTTGTAAAATGTATCTTTTAAGGAGCCCTGATGAAGTACTGGGAGTACCGAAAAGCCCAAGTCCAAACCCCCCCGATTCCCCGGAAAGAAGGTCCCCGCGACTGCTGGCAATCTTCCGTCTTCCGGGGGATGGGGGGAGGGAAATGGGTGCCCCCCATTAAACAAGGTCCCGCATCTCGCCTTAGCCTAAATGATGCGTCCAACTGGGCGAGTGGTTCCTTGGTGTGCTCTACCAGGCTGTGAACTTCCAAGTGTGATTGTATCACCGGCCATCCGCAGCTCAGGTCGGTTTTGGTTTCCCCGCGCAGCTGGGATGTGTTGGCTTGCAGGGCGAACGCTCGCGAACAAGCAGCCCCAAAGGAGGCACAATTCCAGACATCCACTTTCAGAAGGAATCTGGGAACCCAAAATCCCTTGAAGGCCACACCAGACAAATCAGAGCGAGGGCTAAAAACCTCCGAGACCACAGCAGCGAAATACAAAAAACCTTCTACCCTCCTGTCCGCAGCAGGCCATGGAACCCACCAGAGGGTCCCTGCTAAAGGAAAATGGTCCAAACTCGGACCCCGAAACGTCGGCTTCCATGTTGCACAGGAGGGCACCCTCGGCAAACCCCCCAGCACCACGACCTGTTCCTGGCATAGGTGGCCTTTTGGAAAAATCGACGGGCTTCCCTGGTTTCTTGGAACCAAACCCCATGTAAACCGGCTGTGGCTCAAAAAACCGGTGCCAAACTGGAACCCTGGTAAGTGGAAACATGAACCAAAACCTGCGGTTTGCCCCTCCAATCGTTTCATTTTGAGCCACACCCATCTATCTTCGTTTTGCCAGGCTCGCCTAAAAACACCACGACGAGTTTTCCCACAGCTCGGCCCCCTGCGCCGGAGCTGCTGTTCCAGGCTCAGCCTGCCGCATCGGTCGAGTCGGCGGGGGTCCCATGTGGAAATTTAGCCCCACATGGCTTCTTGGTAGCAACAAGACGAAAACTTGGGAAACTTCAGGTGTTTCATGTTGAGCCACATGTGGGGATATGGGGGGTCAAAAATGAAAGCCCTTTGGTTTGCCATAATTTGTGTGGGGTTCGCCAGAAAGAAAGAGGTCCGAAAAGGGGTCCTGCACCACTTGGAAACCATGGTTGAAGCCATTGTTTGTTGATATTTACGTTGGGGAATCATCATGCCCAGGTTTCTTAGGTGGTGCAGGAATCGTCCATCCACAGTATGGCTGTCCCTTTCAAAACGAACAAAACAAAAGGGGGGTTACCCAAAAACGGGCCCCAGAAAGAAGAAGGTCCGAAAAGGGGTACATTATTTTTGACCACCCCCGTCTTTGTGCCGAAGGCTCCAGAGGCTGAAAAAAACTCGTGAAGCTCTCCAAAAGCCCAGGCTGCCTACCTCCTACTCAAAACACCCGCTTTTTCAGGGGTGTTGTTGGGAAAACCTTGGATAATTCCTTTTTTCAGAAGAGGGGCGACATGTCACCCTGAAAAAGATGGTATTTGGGGGAAACAGGCTGGTAAAAAACCTGATAGTTGTTGTGCTTTTCTTCTGTGTGCTGTGATGCGTCGAGTTGCAGTTGTGAGCAGGGCTGGAGGAGGGGGAGGAGGGGGGAGGGGGTGGGGGAGGGGGGTGAAGGGGGGTGGGGTGGGGGTGGGGGAAGGGTGGGGGAGGGGGGGGCATGTTCGTTATGAAAGGCTCGCACGCACAGGAAAACATGAGTGCACACAGGTTGACGCATGGCCAATGTTGGTAGCAAATGCTGGCAAAAAGCATCTCATTTCATGAGTGTATCTGGAAGTTTCTGGTAGGATTGTCTAGTGGGGACAACCTTTTCTCTGCCTGTACGTGAATGGTATGCACAGTGGTATCAAAGAGTACACTTGAGCCAAAAGGATGCATGGAGATCAACATTTAAATCAAACACAGGGGGGTCCCAAACCGGGGCACCTTCTCTCGTGGGAACAGGTACCTTGTGGTAATGGTCCATTGTAGGCCCTGGATAAAATTCCACAAGCTGATCCAATATGCCAATGGTGGGTGGAGTGTATCTGGAAGTCCCTCGTAGGATTGTCTTGTGAGTATAACCTGTAAAGCGGTCCGCAAGTAATCCCTTTTCTCTGACTGTACGTGTATGGTATGTACAGTGGCAAGAAAGAGTAGAAGAGTAGAATTTGCTAGAAGGGCCTCTGTGACGAGGGAAGCACGCAAACGATCCGCTTGCTTCATAGTGGGGATCCAATGTATAGACAAATGGTATCATTGCAAGACGATACGCCAAGTCAGCTGCACTCGCTACATGGGTCGCTTCTTTTGTAAGTATCAGCTTCAAGAATTATTTCTGCCGTGCGTTGGCTGCAGTTTGTTGGTTCAGATTTTCGAGTAATTGAGCTGCAAATATGCAAATTACATTGGGTTTTTGTACAATTTTGCATAACAACAATGCTGTCCTAATTCTCCCGTTCACTGTCAAGCATGCGCCAGAGATGACAAATTGCAAAAAAGCCAGGGGAAAACACGTGTGACACAGCTTTCGCCTCCAGGTTTTTTAACAGCCTGTGACCTATTTGGAGTAGGGGGCAGGTCTTGATGTCCAATAGTCCAACAGGCATCCAGCCCTGAGTCCCTCAGAAATGCCTCGATATGTGTTTGGACTTCGTGCAGCTTCTGCATTTGTTTTGAGGGCGGCCCTCTTTGATTGCCCACACAGAGTTCCTGCAAGCTGTCCTGTCCAAATCCCCTAATTGAGGCATTCCAATGGGGGAATCGCATTGAATCCAACTTGGTGACCCTCACCTTTCCTGGCCTCTGCATCATGCAGCTTGCCAGCGGGTGCTTAGATTCCCCAAAGTACTTCAGCAGAGATGCCAACACGTTGTCCTGCATGACGTGGTGCAAACCATCGGGTCAAAAGAGCATCAAAAGAGAAAGAGAGAGAGAGGGAGAGACACACACTGACAAAGAAAGAGAAGGAAAGAGAGAGAGAGAGAGAGAGAGAGAGAGAGAGAGAGAGAGAGAGAGAGAGAGAGGCAGAGAGAGAGAGAGATAGAGATAGAGATAGAGATAGAGATAGAGATAGAGATAGAGATACAGAAAGAGAAAGAGAAAGAGAAAGAGAAAGAGAAAGAGAAAGAGAAAGAGAAAGAGAGAAAGAGAGAAAGAGAGAAAGAAAGAGAGAAAGAAAGAGAGAAAGAGAGAAAGAAAGAAAGAAAGAAAGAAAGAAAGAAAGAAAGAAAGAAAGAAAGAAAGAAAGAAGGAAGGAAGGAAGGAAGCAAGCAAGCAAGCTAGGAAGGAAGGAGGGAAGGGAGGAAGCAAAGAGAGAGAGAGAGACACAATGAGAGAGAGAGAGAGAAAAGAGAGAGAGAGAGAGAAAGAGAAAGAGAGAGAGAAAGAAAAAGAAAAGAAAAAAGAGAAAGAGAAAGAGAAAGAGAAAGAGAAAGAGAAAGAGAAAGAGAAAGAGAAAGAGAAAGAGAAAGAGAAAGAGAAAGAGAAAGAGAAAGAGGAAGAGGAAGAGGAAGAGGAAGAGGAAGAGGAAGAGGAAGAGGAAGAGGAAGAGGAAGAGGAAGGAAGGAAGGAGAGAATGAAGGAGAGAAAGCGAGAAGGCGGGAAGGAAAGAAAAAGAGAGAAAGAGAAAGAGAAGCACCTGATCAAAACGATCAACAATTAAGTGAAATACAGCGAAACCGTACACTCCTGCAACTCATCATGCCCGATTTCAAGTGCGAGGCAGCATTGAGCTGGCATGGTCTCTTTTAACTTTGGGGGGTGCCTCCACAAAGAAAAACCTCCACAACAAGCAGAAGAGAATGATAACTCAACAGCCCGCTCTCCTGCATCACGCTGCTAATGGGCGCATCGGTCATGAACAGCTTTCCACGATCGCCCTGGCCGGCCGAGTCACTCGGCAAAACATGGAACTGGAACAGCCGGTTCCAGTTCAGACAGTCGACCCAAGTGTCGGAGTTCAAGAAGCCCGTGAATCCTATTCTCCCCATCCATGCAGTATGTGCGTATCTGAAATAGATACAACATATATATATATATAATGTAGCAAGAGAGAGAGAGAGAGAGAGAGAGAGAGAGAGAGAGAGAGAGAGAGAGAGAGAGTGAGAGAGATTTACCTACAGGTCTCACGTTCTCTCCCAGACAGTCACACAGGTGACAAGGGCATGCTGAAACCCCCGGCGCCTTTGCCGGCATGTTGCTGAACCATCTGAATAGCCTCGGACAGAGCTTGAACCGCGCGCGCGCTCGCGACCAGATGTCCCCGGATCAACTGGCACGAGACAAAGGCAGCGCCTTAGGCCTTCCATCCAAGGAGCTTCAGAACCTCTTTGATCTCTTGCGTGAGCATCTCCTTGTCCAAGACATGGAGATCCTCTGACACCTGCCACACCCATCCGTGCCAAGCGATCAAGTCTTGCTTTCGGTGCTTGGCTCCAGGCAGTCGCCTGAGACGTCCCGAAATCCAAGGCATTCGAAGCCATGTCTCTAGGGGTACGGGGGTACCTTGCCCCCATTCTTTCTTTGCAGGAAACCGTGATGAAAACCCAGGTTGGAAACAGATCCGGCTTTTCAAAAAAAAGGATGGTTGAAAAGAATGGTCAAGGAATGAACCCCTAGAGCCTTTAGAGAATTGGCGACCCCCTCAAAAAAGACTTCACTTCTGGGGGTTCGATCATTTCTCCACCTTTCTTGGACAAGGAGTCAACCCCTAGAATGTCGCCAAACCAAACCCCCCGCGACAGCACCTCTCACTCTCCTCCATTGGCTTAAGTCCAGTGCAAAAAAAGGGAAGAATCATTCCAGTAGTGATAAATTCCTTCCCTTTCAAACCACCAGGGCAAAAAAAAACAGACATCTTCACCCAACTAGAAGCTCTGAAGCTGAGAGGTGTCCAATTGCCGCGGCCTGCACGGCGATCTTCTCGGCGATGACCAGCGCCTTCTCCTGAGCTCGCTGACCGGCGTCAAAAACCGTATGTTGGATGCTGGGGAGGAGGGATAAATTGTTATAGGTGTGATGATTAGCCCCCAGTGAACATCCCAATCCCCACTAAAATAGACTAAAATGGGTGGCTGTGGTTCTCAACACCGTTTTGGGATCCCATTTTGGTTGGTACCACCCATGGAAAGAACCGATTTTAGTGGGTAGATTGAATCGGATGTTCACTGGGGGTGCGATTTGGATTTTGACCCATGGCCATATGTTGATGGTAGAGATGAGTGATAAAATGGGACTTGTGTGTGTGTGTGAGTGGTCGGTTTTTTGAGGCTACCCCTTTCTTGTGGTGTGACAAAAGGGAAGCCAGAAGGAAAATCAAAGCCATTTTGGGGGTCCAACCTCAAAAAAGACGAGCCGCCCATTTGGACAAACCAGTTTGATCCGAAGCAGCACCGGAAAAAAGAAAGGAAAAAAATAGAAAAGAAAAATAAGGGGAAAAACATAGGGGAAAAAAGGGGGGGGAAAAACGTCGTTTGATTGCGGGCAACGGCTCTGGCTTGAACCTCGCGGGGATCTCGGCCACGTGGGTCTCGATCTCCGAGCCTGCCGGCCTGGCGCGCGTGCAGCTCGATTCGCGCGGCTCCGCGGAGAAATCAGATTCGGAGTCGCGCGCCTGGAGGGAAAAACAAAGGAAGGAAGGGGTTTCTTTTTCCAGGGACAAATGTGGAGCCAAAAAATATTCAGGAAGGGTTGTTGTTGTTGTTTCTTTTTTCCCAGGACCCAATGTGAAGCCGACGCCAGCTTTTGCAAGATCAGAAGATGCAAGTTGAATCCTACAGACTGAGTTCGCAGACTTGCTGGCTAAAACGGATGGGTCTTTTGGGGACCGCTCCCGCACGATTCAGATCCGCAAGCCCAGTGTCCCCCTCGCCTCACCACCATTTCCAGCTCGAGCACCTCGCTGATGCAGACGCCAACCGATGCAATTCCCGTGTTACCCCCACTAACACAGCACCTGACCAGGGATCCCTTTAGGAGGAAACCGGATCCTCCGCATTTGCTGTTTTTGAGGGACGGGCAACAAGCAAGCCGTCATTCAGCCATCAGCCAAAAAGCTGCCCCCGTCGATTTTCTTCCGGGCGGCGTTGGACGGAGGCCACGTGGTGGCTGCGTTCATCAGCGATGTCTGGGCGTCCCGGACCTGCCAAACTAAGTTTCCCAGGGAGCCACATGGGCATGTGTCAAGGCCCCGATTTGTGGATGGCGTCCCAAAAAAGAACAAAGAAGTCAGCCAATTGAAGAGATCTCCGATGCTGTCGCTTGCGCCGCCAGTCAAACTTAGAGACTTGCTTTTGGGTTTGCTCAAAGCAAACGCAAAGCAAGTTGGAAGGGACCCTCCTGACAAGCGCAGCGAGTCATCGCGTCCGATTCAACTGGTCAATAAGGTCTGGAGCCATTGATGTGTTGTGGTTTTCTAATACAATTAGGGACTTTGTTGTGCATGGCTTTGTGTTCAGACGCCATCAGAACTTCGGTGACTGAGTTGGGCTGCGTTCGAAAACCGGGCTTCTTCAAACGGCTGGCGTCCGCAAGGAGAAGCCGAAGAAGCAGAAAGAGAAGCAGGTCTGCCGGCTCTTGATGCATCTCAATTTGGAGGTCCAAAAAAACATCCCTTGCCACTGAAGAGCTCCAAAAACACTGTGGCACCCAGGCGGCGGAGGTTCGTAGTCCAATCCCAGTGCCTCGCCTGCACGGCCACGAAGCCGCGGACCCCGTTGCTGCCCCGCTTGGACGCGCGTTGCTTCAGGTCCTGCAAGCCAAAACGCGCGCCACGTGGCTGGACGCCAAAACGGGTCGGTGTTGATCACGGCTGGGAACACCCGTTGCTTCCAGGCCTCAAAATCACGACAGTAATGAGTCAAGATTGGTTCATTAACGGGCAAAGGCATGTCACAAGCCACATGGAAACAGGCTCAAAATGAAACGATCGGACGATTCGAACATCTGACAGGTTTGCGCTGCGTCCCAAGCGGCGCCACTTGGGACATGATTTATGACCCTCGCTGATTAAAGACGACTGGTTTCCCAGCCGGGCAGCCAATACTACTTCAAAGGCACCCACAAGGTTCGGCCAAAAGACACCTCGTATTTGTGGGGAGAGGAGCGCCTCCCAAAACCCCTGTGATTAAAGACGTCCCATACCCAACATTCAAAGCCTAAATTGTAAATTACCGAAGCTGTTGCCAATACTTGTTTGCCAATACTAACTCCTTTCATAATCTCAAGGGTTGCCATTCCAGGGCTCAAAAAAAATCAGCTAGCCGGAAACCACGCTTTTTTCAGTACAGCCGCTAAAAGCAAAAGGTTTGACAAGCTTCGTAAAGGGTCCCCCCCCTCCCCCCTGAATAACACCAAACCACCTCTGATTCATCCTGGCCCTCTCCAGCCCAGCAAAATAGAAAATGCAAATTCCTTCTCTTTTGCTATTGCAGTCCTAGTGACCAGACAGGGGTCCACACAGGTAAGGAGCGGAGACTGGCCAGGTCCAGACTCATCCAACCAACCCTCCAAAATATTGTTTCCCAGCACCCTGTCAATCTTGAGAGGGGGGGTGGTTTATGAACCATATTCCCCATTATGCTTGCGCAACTGAAAGACTTAGAGGCCTCACCTGCCAAGGAAAACCTCCGACCAACTCGCTCTCCTGGCGCATTGCGCGGAAGCGCTGCTGTGCCTGGCGCAGTGGGCCAACTAGGCACCCTTTGGACAAAGTTCGGCGGGGATTCATGTCCATCACTTTTGAAGAGGTTCCGACTCTTAAAATTCATAGCCATATGAATTGATGGCTTGGCATGGGTGCAGCGCCAAAGGTCAAAGGCGGGAAGTCGGCAAGGATCCCGGGTAAGAAGGCCGACCAATCAACTGCGTACGTTGATGTGACTAGGAATGCGAGTCAACATGTTCAACTACCTGCCACTACTGCTATGAACTGATGAGGTGCGTGCTCACCGTCAAGCATATTCCTTGTGTGCGTCTGTGATGCCGGCAAATCGCATGGCCAAAAGAAAAATGATCCCCATGGCGTCAAAGCGGAAGGCAAAACGAACAAACCTGTACCAAGGCCTGTCCAGTACGGACGACATAAAAGCAACGGTGGGGAATTCGGATGTCTTGGGGCTCCTCAGCTTCCCAAAGCCTCGGGCATGCCAGCTCAAAGTTGAAGGCCCGAACCCATCTCTCGCTGCAACATGGAAAAAAGACAAAGACCAGCACCAAACAAACAAAAGATGCGAAATGTCCAAACTGGTGCTGAGAAAAACTCCCCCCCCTTTTGCAACCCGTCCCATCCGAAATTGTCCCCGTCTCCCCGTCCGAAACCGTCCGAAATTGTCCGGTCCTGCAGCACCTTGGCGGCCGCCCGGATGGCGGCCCCGGGGTGGGGTGCCAGAGACACTGCCGCCCGCAGACGCGCCGGGAGCTCCTCGGCGTGCTTTGAATGGCCCAGGCAAACCCACAAGGAAACCGCCAGAAAGCCATCTAGATCGCCAAGTTGCTGCTTTTTCAGTCACTGTTGCTGGTTTTTGGGGTAAAGTTCATGGAAAAAAGCACCACGGGGGAAACCAAGCAGTTTGGGGGTGCCCTACTTCCAGGTGTTTGTCGCGCCTGGAAAAAATGCGAAAATCTGTTCAGTAGTCAAATCGATTCATGTTTAAACCCACAAGGGAAGAGAAAAGATAGTCACGCTCGCAAATTGCGTAATAAAGAAAAGAGGCGGCGCGGACGACACAAGATACAGCTCGCACTTATGGATGTGCCAAGGTGCCAAATCTGAGGGGTGTGTCAATTATTGAAACTGTATCCGCAGACTTCACTGCATCCGTAGACAGGCCTGCAAAATAGGAAGCCTTCATGTGCGCGAAGGTTTTACCTGGTTGCCACTTGGGACAACTGTTCTTGGTCCAAACCCTCCATGTTGTTCTGCAACTGTCCGTGAAATGGGGGCGAAAACGTCATAAAGCTCCCCAATATGGACGATGGGCAAAAACTAATCAAAGGGGTCCCCTTGCAACCTAGGTCCTCCAGTAGAGGGGTTAGAATAAGGGTACCCTTTTTTCTGCAGTCTATTTTAGTAGGGGAGCCCTCCCCCAAAAAGTGTATAAGCGCGCTACTGGCAGACCTTGCAACAGTTCGATTCCCCATTTTCAAACAAGACCCCACATGATTAATTTGCCAGGCACACAACATCCACTCACGTGACACCCCGAGGCCTTGATGGCCTGGGAAGAACTAGGATCAACCCCACATGAGTCCGCGACATGTGTGGCGATGAGAACCAGAAAGGCAACAGCTTGCCAATTCAAGCGGAATTCCTTGAAAGAACTGCCAAGACGGATTTCGTCGAATTTAGTCCTTCGGCTCACAAAAAGACTTCCCCCTTTCTGACCCCGAGAGCACGTCACGGCCCTTCCCCCACCTCATCCGTCTCGCAATGAAAGGCGAGGATGTTTTCCCGCTTGGCGGCGCCTGCCAAGCCGAGGCGCGGAAGGGCTCCGAAGAGATCCAAACTTGAAGAACATCCGTGGGACTTGAAAAGGGCGAGCTCGGCCGGGTCCCAAACGTCACTGCACCCCGTTCACAAAATCACCCGCCGCAGCCCTCCCTCAAAAGAACTCACGCCCTCCGGTGCCGAGAAAAGAATGTGTCTTCGCGGCTGATGCCCATGGAACCTGCTAGGATCCAAGTCAGAGCTTCGCAACCAAGTTGGGGGAAAATTATGTGCTCCGTTCAAAGAAGGGGGACTTCTCCCTTCCCGCTCTTCTCAACGCTTCACCCCTTTGGTTTAACCCCTCCCCTCTTTCTTAACCCTCCGCCCCCTTTCGTTCTATCCCTCCGCCTTTTCCCCAGTAGCCCCCCCCCCCGTCTTTTCCTTGTAGCCCTCCATCACTTCTTTTTCAGGGTAGGCTTAGGTGGTTTACGGTTGCTTCGTGGTGGTTTAAGTGAGTTCTTGCTGGATTAGGGTAGATTAAGGGTGGGTTTAGGGTTTATTTGCGATGGGTTTCGGGTTGTTTCAAGAAGGGCTGGTGTACAACCGGGGTTTAGGGTGGGCAAAAGCTATCGGGTTGGTTTATGCGTTTCCGCTTGGTCGCGTAGTGTTGGTGTAAGGTTGGTGTAGGGGCGGGCTAGGGTTGGTTAAGGGTGGTTTTAGGGTGGGCTTCGGACAACTTTTAAGTTGAGTTTAGGGTAGGACTGGTTTAGGGTTGATCAAAGGTGGGTTTAGTCCGGCTGGGATAGCCTTCGGGTTCGATTCGATGAGGGTCTAGGATTAAAAGCCATGCAAACGCGCAGAAGCCGCCAAGAGCTGCAACGACCGGCTTGAGGGGTTTAGTTCCGCGCGGCGCCAGGCGAAGGATGTGTGTCGCCCTACGCGCGTCGCCCTCGATCTGGCTCTCGCGCTCTTCCCCGGCGGGGGAAAAGCCAAACGTTGACAAGGCGCTTGTATTTGGCGAGGCCTTGATCCCAGAGAAGTGTCGAGAAGTGTGGCTCAGAAGTGTTGCTCAGAAGCATCTCGTGGCTTCTGTCAGGCTTGCGCTCCCATCTCGAAGGATGTTTGTTTCTTGTCGGGCTGTTGCATTTGCTGTTGCATTTGGCATGTAAGGCTGCTGGGCTGTTCTGTTCCGCCGAAAAAAAAAACCTGGCGGTTTCTGCGGCTCCTTTTGGCCAAAACCACTTCCTCCCCCGGATCGACACCGCCCGAGCAACTTGTCCCATCCGGATCCCGCCTTCCCAGAAGCCGTGCAGCGCCACTGCCTGGCTGCCACGGGTGAGCTCCTCGGGAGCGAGAGATGCCACGGCGCGAGGAGAGATGCCAGGGGAATGAGAGGTATGGAAGGACCCCAGGAGAAACCCTCCAAGGGGACCAAAGCCTGGGTTCGTTCCATTCCCTCATTCCCTGCCTACTGAGCACCAGCAGGTCATGAACCATCCAACTGGCGGTTTCCAGTAGAAGGAGACCAAAGCCTGGGGTCATTCCATTCCTCATTCCCTGCCTATCGCACCAGCAAATCACTAGAAATTCCAGAACAAAAAGTGGCCATGTGAGTGGTTCGTGGCTTTGTCGTGGTGTCTTGAACTGTCGGCCTGACGGCTTGGTTGGGGGCTTTGGGGCGTTGTTGCTCTGTTGCGTTGGTGCCAGGTCTTTTTGCTTCTTCGGGCATTCCAAAGCTTGTTTCGACGTGTCAGCTTTATAGCCCAACCAAAGCTGCCCTGGACAGCTGGACAGCTCAGTCCAACAAGAGCGCAAATGGAACCAGGATTCATTCATGAATCCTCCCAGCTCATTCTCCCCCTCCCACCTCATTCCCCCCCTCCCCCCCTCATTCCCCCCGTCCCCCCTCCCCCCCCCTAAAAAATACAGAAAGGGGATTTGAAGGAACTGAAAATCATTTCTGTATTTTTTCTATCAACCAGTGAAAACCACACTGAAAAACCAAGTATCAACTAATAGATAAGGTTAATAAATCACAACCTTATTCATTCTAAGTAATTCCTAGAAAAGATACACACCTTATCCATTATTTTTTCACTACTTAACCTATTACATTTTACTATTTGTTTACCCTTATTCATTTTATGTTTTAAGTCTTTTTCCAATTCTCAGAAACTCCAGTTGTTCTTCATTTTTTCTTTTTACCTTATTCATTGTTCACGAATTTTTCACTCAGACTTAAAAATATGACTAAAACACATTTCACCTAATAGTTCCACCTTTCACATTTTATTATTCAGCTTTACAACTATATTTCTTTGATGCTTACTTGTTTTCTCATGCCTTGCTTTATTTCTCAAATACATAGACAAATCACACTCACTACAAAAATACAACTTATTGTTCCACTGTTTATTCCTTTCCATTTTCTTTTCTCTATACTCTTCATCTTCCTTCCACCTTCTATTCGCTTCTGCCCTATATTCTTCCTTATGCTTTTCATAACATGTTCTTCTGTGTTCTAAACACCTATTACAGTTTTTGTTTTCACCTTCAAACTCTTCAACTCCTAACATTCTACAACACTTGGAGCACTGCCTTTCACTTTGGTTTTCCATTATTCTTATTAATGTATAGTTCTAAGTCTTTATACAGTTTTAGGACATACTCAAAAACTAAGAAACAATAATAATTAAATCTTTACAAACGATAACTATATTATAATTATAACATATAAGGGTATAAATGTTATTATTATAGTATGGTAAAGCTATATACTGCTACCAGTATCGTTCAAATGATACTACCAGTATCGTTCAAATGATACTACCAGTATCATTCAAATGATACTACCAGTATCATTCAAATGATACCACCAGTATCGTTCAAATGATACTACCAGTATCGTTCAATTGATACTACCAGTATCGCCCACCTGATACTTCCAATATCAAGCTCAAAATCCTTAATCCACCAGACTAACCAAGATTTCACAAATTAATTCGCTAGGTATTTTATATAAATCTTCCTGCTTATGTATTATTGGATTGTCTCCCCATTTTTCCTTGGTGCCCGATGGCAGTCTCTGCGCTGTTTCAATATGTTTATTATTCCTGATGTTACCACAATCCTTTTTACATAATTCTCTAGGTTTCCAAGTTGTAATGTTATTCCAGAGCCTAGTGCGTTTTCTGCAAGGCATTCCATACTTACAGTAATCTACATCTTTAAAATCAAACTCATCCATAAACTCCTGATGTTTTAATAATCCAGTTTGTGGATTTTCGATTACAAAATATTTAGGATTGAAATATTTGATAATCTCAATAGTTTTTAAGACAATACTATTTGCATATTCGATATTCCTAATTCCCCTAGTTTTTGCTACACTATATTCAGTGCATGGGGGACTACTCCAAATAAAATCAAAATGGTTTCTGTCAAACTGTTTGTAATCCCACTCCAAAATATCAGTGTTGATATCAGCATTTTTCAAGTCTAATGATATTACATTAAATCCAAGCGACTTTGCTATGGTTCCGACGCTTTTTGTTCCGCTAAATAATTCTAATAAATTCATTTATTAGAATTATTTAGATATTAATTATTCAAATAATACATATACTTCATCATCATTTTTTGTAATTTTATAAAACTCTAATGTTTGTTGCTTTGGTTGTTTGATTTTTCCTGTATTCAACATATCACAGTATTTCTTTTGCTTTGTCGGGTAGTCGCCCGATGGTCTTCCTATAGATTTTGCTTGAAATATCTTTTCGATTTTTTCTTTATCTTCATTGCGTTCAACTGGTTTCATTTTGTCATCAATGGATTTAATCATATCATTTAAGGTTTTAATATTTTTACCAATTAATGTTATCTTCTTCATTAAATCATTAATAGTGTAATTCTCATTTTCAGACATTACTATATATTTATTTAGATATTTATTTATTTAATTATATATTTTTCATCATTTGTTTAACAGTTTCCTGTGTTTCGTTTTCATTATTATCGGATGGTGTTGCTTGCCTACCAAATTTAAAAGTTATATTATGAACATCCGTTTCCAGATTTATACTGTCTTTAGTTTTATCAATATTCATTTTCTTATCATTTTTACTTATTTTGAAACTTGTTGGAATACATGAACATTTACAATTTTTATTATTTTTTATTTCTATCTCATTTTTAAGTTCTAACATCTTTTTGCACATAGGACAAGCAATCTCAAATACTGATGTTTCTTTAACAATTTCTCCGCTATCTTCATCTGTTGAAGAAACACTTAAACCTATCTTATTCTTTTTGTTTTTCTTTTTTGGCATTTATATTAATATTTATATTTTTAATATATTGTATCAAAAACTTAATTAATTCTAAAATAAAATAACATATTTTTTTACATCTATTATCAGTTATTAGTACTTGTTCTATATTCTCCATTTCATCTATTATATTAATATAATCTGTATAACTCCTTTTCATATTAAATAATATGATAAATTATTTTTTCATTTCTGTCTTTCTTTTCTTGTAAAGTTTTTTCATTGTATCGTCTTTATTCCATCTATATTCTACAATTTTCTGATGATATTTTGAATTTAGATGTTTAAATAAATATTTGTCATCATAAGTTTTACAACAATTGCAATGGATAACAGTCATATAATAATAAGATAAAATAATTATTTAAATTATTTAATCTTATTATTTTCATGCATGATAGAATATTCGGAGGGCACAGCACTTGGGGTTTTCATTGCACGCGAGAGAGATACAAACTAATTAGCTTCAATGCTTACTGATTGAAGCAATGGAAACCTGTTCCATTATGTTATTCACCGCCACTCATAACATAATGATGTTCCATTAATATTAAATAGAATATTTATTTAATTTATTTTCTTTAGCTTTAGTAAGTTTTAGTGCAGTTAGCATATCAACATCTAGAATATTATTATTAATAACTTCTTGTACACTATTTATCATTTCATCTGTATATATATTAGAATAATCTTTCATAAAATTTACTAACTTTCTAAAATTAAAATCTAGGTTATTGTCATTTTCAATTGCGGACTTGGATACTACGATATTATAATTTTTAATTCCAGATAAAAAGTATAACATCGTATCATAATATATTTGTACAGTATCTGGAACTAAGACATCACCAAATTTATATATCCTCCGAATACTAGCCACTTCACTTAAATTAATAGATTCTATTGTCATTATGATATAAGTATATTATATTTTATTATTTTATAAGTATTTATAATATTATTTATGATTGATATCAAACCGTACAAAACTAAAGAATACAATAGTAAACAATCACGACATGATCATGTAGGTAAGCTACCAGCAAGACAAATATTCGCGGCTCCATCTGGCGTTGGTAAAACAGTTACATTAACAAATTTAATATTAAATGTGTATCGCGATTGTTTTGAAAAAATATTTATTTTTAGTCCGACAATACATTTAGATAATAACTGGGACACAGTAAAAGATTATATATCAAACAAATTAAAAATAAATCATACCGAGGACGATCCCGTATATTTTGATACATTTAATGAAGAACAAATGAAAAATATTATTGATACTCAAGAAAAAATAGTAAAATATATGAAAGATAAAAATTTTTCAAAAATTTATAATATTGCTATAATAGTAGATGATTTTAGCGATAATAAAGATGTTGCTAGAAAAAATAAAGAACTTGTAAGATTGTTTGTAAAAGGTAGACATTATTTTATTTCTACTTTTATAACGTGTCAATCTTACACATTATTGAATCCGGTAGTTAGAAAAAACGCAACACAATTATATGTATATAGATTAAGAAATCAGAAAGATCTAGATTCTATAATAGATGAACTTAGCGCTTTATATGATAAACAAACATTATTACAATTGTATCACACAGCCACCAATGAAAAACATAGTTTTATGTTTATTAATATGATGGAATCTGATAAAGAAAAAATGTTTTATAAAAATTTAAATCAACGAATGATACCTAATTAATATATATTAAATAATTAAATAATTAAATAATTAAATATATATTAATATTATATGATATTTTATGATTTACCAATAGAAATTAAAAACATAGTATTATCTTATAGTTTAGGTGATGTTAAATTATTAAAAATAAAAAATAGTAATATTATTAAACATTATATTAATAAATATAAACCAGTTTATAAGTCTTACAAATTAAATAACATACATTATTTTGAAATTGATAATATCAATATTAATAATGGATTTTCATATATTTTTAATTTAAATGAGTTAGATAAATTACATCATAAATATAAACCAT